GGGATCCTCCTGCCTCAGCCTTCTGAGCCCCTGGAATTACACACACAAAAAATCCTTATCCCAGTTTCCAGCATGAGGTCAGAGGGATTCAGCTGCTACCATTTCAAACAAAGCATTAGCAGGTATAAGGGCATTCTCATTTCTCAGGCCACTTAACAAGCAGGAATGGGGGGCACAAATCTAGATGAAAAGTGGGATCAGACGGGCACAATGGGGCACACCTGTACTCCCAGCGGTTTGGGAGGCTGAGGCAGGAGGATCACGAGTTCAAAGCCAGCCTCAGCAACCAACAAGTTACTCAGTGAGACACTGTCTCTAAATTTAAAAACTCAAAATAGGGCTGGGATGTGGCTTAGTGGTTGAGGGCCCCTGAGTTCAACCCCTGGTACACACACACAAACAACACAAACAACAACAACAACAACAACTCCCCAAACCAGGATGACCAAGGCAGAACACCCCCCCAACATAGGAGGTTAACCAGGACAGAGGTGTGTTCATAGGTTCAACAGATGGCAGAGGGTATGTCTAGCGTGCTCAAGGCCTCGGTTCCATCCCCAGAACTTTGTGTGTGTGGGGGGATGACATAAAGGCTTCATACAGCCCCACCCCCTACCTTCCTCCACTGTCCCCCCACTCTGGGCTGGATCAATACAATATTTTCTTATTTACTTAAGCTCACAACAGGAATCTGGTAGACCATCGATGGCAACCTACACATTTACAAAATGAAACAAAACGAGCCTCCCCTCCCCCCTTGCAGAACGTGCTCTGTGTCAGCAGTTTGCTTGAGAATCACTGGTATTAATCTTCCTTCTTTGGCGTGTTAAAATATTAATATGAACCGCTCCCAGTAAGCCGAGCAGTAATTTATGCAATGCTTTATTACCTTGATTAAGAAAGTTTTAAAAAACACTGAACACTATCTGCTACCAGAAATCAGGTTTCAGTATTTCCTGTCGCGCCATGCCCAGCGGAGAGCTGGCAGGGACTGAGAATGGGGGCGCGGCAGAGCATGGGGGGGCCTGGGGAAGGGGGAGCCCCGCGGTCTCTCTTAAACTCTTAGGTCACTCATCTGTAAGGCCACCCAAGGATGTGAGGTGTGTTCTGGAAAACCTTTTAGGCCCTTTTCTAAGACAAGCCAGTCAAAGGCGAGGGCTGGCTTGGATGCTAACTAGAATGTTCCAGACCCCCCTCCCACATGAAGCAAAGGCTGCACGCACACTGGCCAACCTGGCCACCCGTGCCCTGTTGCTTCAGGTCACTGTGACAGCTCCCTTCCCAAGCAAGAGGAGGAGGAGCCGAGGCGTGTC